GCGACTATCACGACGGATGCCGGGCTTGGCAATGCCGAGGATGCCACTCCCTGGGCTCTTCTCAGCCCAGGCAACGTGAACTTGTACGCTTTGCAGAATCTTGCGTCGGTGTCGCTGGACGATGGGGTACGAGTGTTCTGATGTTCTATGCTTAGGAGTCTAGCTTACCGTTGCTTTAGGCCATCATCGGAAAGTTACTCATCAAGTCGTACTACGGGCGCGGACCGGACTACTCGTACTGGAACGGTTGCTCGCAAGGCGGCCGACAGGGACTTATGCTGGCACAGAGATATCCGACACAGTATGACGGCATCGCGGCGGGAGCTCCCGGGATCCAGTGGACCGACTTCTTCCCCAGTCTGCTGTGGCCGCAGCAGTTCATGAACATGCTCGGTGAGTACCCTGCGCCCTGCGAGCTGCAGGCGATCACGGCAGCCGCAGTTTCGGCCTGCAATGGGCTGGACGGCCTCGAGGACGGAATCATCAGTGACGCCGACGGATGTCTGGGCAGTTTCGATCCGTTCAAGCTGGTGGGCAGAGCTATCAACTGCTCCGAATCAGCTACTATCAGCTCAGCGGCAGCGGCTGTCGTGAATGCGACATGGCAGGGCTTGCGGAACGCGCAGGGGGAACAGACGTGGTTTGGCCTGAACCCGGGCACCGATATCACGGCCGGCGTTGCGGTGACCAACTGCACGGGGTCATCTTGCGTGGGCGTTCCGCTGGCCATTGCAACGCAGTGGCTGTCCCTCTTCGTGGCGAGGGGCGCGGAGCTGGACCTGTCTAATGTAAGTCATGCGGAGTTCGACTGGTTGGCTCGTCAAGGTCGCCAGCGGTACAACTCCATCATCGGCACCGATGATCCCGACTTGACTGCTTTTCGTGAATCCGGTGGCAAGATTGTCACTTTTCACGGCCTGGTGAGTCTTCGTTTCTTGAAGGTGCGCTCTCTGTGCACATATTGACGGCCTCGCAGATTGATGAGCTCCTCCCTTCTAAAGGCACGACCAAGTACTACAACGAAGTCTCGGCACTTATTCCGGAGGTCCATGATTTCTACCGTCACTTTGAGGTGCCAGGCATGGGCCACTGCGCCGGAGGAGCGAGCGGAAACCCGGTTGGTCTATTCGACCAGCTGCGTGCGTGGGTTGAGAACGGAACGGCACCGGACCAAACACCAGTAAAGGTCACGGATCTGAAGGGGACCGAGACAGACCGCATTCTGTGCCCGTACCCGAAAGTGGCTGTTCTTGGTCGGAACTGTAGTGTCGAATCTGACATTGATTTGGAGTGTTGGTCATGCAGCATCTAGATTTCAGCCACTTCTGCAGCCGTCGGTTCATTATATTTGTCTGTTGTGCATCATGTGATATCATGCGGGCAAAGTGCTTTAATTCTCACAACAGCCCATGGATAATTGACGATGTCGTGTGGCCAGATGACCCTAGTGATAATTGTGAGAACCCCGACATCGAGCGGTCTCCCCAAGTCTATGGATGAAAGGCTTACCTAGATTTCGTGCTTTTTACAATAAAACCGAGGACAAGACGCACCAATTTCATGGAAACCGAAGACTTCATTACTGGTTTGCGTCTATCTAGTCTTTATCCAGATGAAAAGTCCATTTAATAAGAGCATTGAAGATATGTTTGATTGGTCATAAGTCTATTGGGGAGGATACTATCATGGCGATGAGCGAGATGGTCCAACTCCAATGACTTGGAGTTTTTCGCGCTTAGCGGGGTGTCATAGCTTAAAAGGTCTAGTTGGATAGAGCTAGATTCTCAAAAGAGAAGTGAACTTGTGATTTGAATTTGGGTTACTCTAGCTTCTGCCTTCTGGTCGATGAAAGATGTGGTTGGTTACTTTCAACGAGATGCGTACCAGATTGCGTACTTGGTTGCTAAGGATCAGTACGGGAGCCAATCATCCAGTCATGCTGCTATACCAAATGCTGGGGTGTGTTTGTTGTCAATTCATCTGATGGACAAGCCCTACACCAAGTGGAAGATGCACAGCAATTGAAGAAGGTCAGCAACCAACAAGTTGCTGACCAACTCCGGTCGTCCCAAAAAGGCAGATGGAACCACAATCCAAAGTCTAGGCCACAGTCATCCCAAGGGACATCGGCAATTCTTCATTACTCGCGCAGTTGTCATGCAATTGCAGATGGGCTGACAGGCCACGAAAAATGGGCCGACCCGGAACCCGCCTCCGTCTTAGAAATTGAAAGCCTCTCATTGGTCAAAAAGATCTACAGCCAATAGCGGGCGAGTTGATGACCGCATGCAGGGGCCGTCCGCGGTGTCATTCAGGAACCGTGACGTCGGTTCTCGGCCGCTCCTTCCCTGCAGCAGCACTTGCTTAAAAGGACCCTTTTCTCGACCGTCTTCATGAGATTATTACCCTAAGACATCAGTCATCACTCAAACTCTACTTCACACCACCATATCCAGCTCAATTACCTTTCGTCTCACGACACAACAAACAACAGACATTTCCACCAACTTCACTCCAACAACCACCACCAAAATGACTGTCGACAAGGCCACCACCTGCTGCGGCAAGAGCGCCGAGTGCGTCTGCGGTACGTTCCCTCCCACGTTTCCCCTCCCCCACGCCGTGGTCCCCTCCACACCTGCTCAACCCCGCCGCCAGAACCAACAAAGCTGACCATGTTTCGACCTTCCAGCCCAGCAAGCCAAGTGCTCCTGCGGAAAGGAGTCCGCCCTCCACTGCTCCTGCAGCAAGGCCTCTACCGAGAACGCCGTCTCCGGACCCCGCTGCTCGTGCCGCGCCCGTCCCGCCGGTGAGTGCACCTGCGACCGCGCCGGCACCGAGAACGTCAAGCCTGCGGGTGCGACTTGCTCTTGCGGCGTCAGACCTGCCGGTATGTAGTTCTCCTCCGCCGCATCACCTCTGGATCATGTTTGCTGACGATGTGGTAGACGCCTGCACGTGTGACAAGGCCTCTGATGGCTCGTTCAACCCCAGTGAGCACGAGATTGACTTCACCACTCGCCGCTAAGCGGGTTCTGAGACATTTTGCATTTGTGGCGTTTCCTGCATTTTCGGACTGGCGTTGAGTTGGGATTGAGGTTGGACAGGACTCGGCATGGGCGGTTTCTGAGTGACAAACAAAATGGCGGCGTTGGGGTGTGAGAAGCTGCCTGCTAAAAACAGCATCGGCATGGAGCAAGTACAACGAATAAGAATCACTTTCTTAGGAACACATTGCATGGTGCTCATTCGAATTATTCGAATGTCGGTCTTCGTTGTTCGAAATGTTGTCTGACATTTACTGTCCTCGTTTGGACCTCCTTTGAATTTGTTCTTGATAGAGCAAGCTTGCCAAACTATTCGAGGCACTAGGAACAACGGTCGGGGATACTGAGCCGCTTGACTTTAATAATGGCCCGTCTACAAGTACGTTTGAGCCTTTGCCTGCCACAAAGGACCAGCTGGTCGGAAATAGCATCCGGCCTCGCTTGAGGGCAGGGCATTCAGGGTCCTGTCTGTGCTTCAATCGACCCACTCGTCTTCATCGTTATCGTTATGAAGACTTTATGTATTGCAGACAGCGACATGATATGATGCTGGGGGAGATTGTTGCGGAGATGGTCAGAACCGGGACTGGTGGGTGCTTCGCGGGGGTGCCGGACCGTTCGGGGCCCTGTCACCAATAAGGGGCTCGGAAAGTCAACGTCTTGCGGCTGCCCGCGACCAATGAGAAGAAAAAAAAAGAAAAAAAACCAGAACCAACCACGATGGACGGCACTCAGGCAACGATAGACCAACGGGTAAAGTTTCTGGGGATACTGATATGCATGGAACATTCGCTGCAGGATTCCACAGAATTGGCGCGGACCAATGGGTCTAACCGGGCTCTTTGTCATCAGAGGTCTCTCTTCAGGCTCCTCGGGCTGGCGACCTGCATACGGCCAGCATGCAGCCCGAATGACACGCCATCCAGGCCTGATGCAGCTTCATTCAAGTCGGATCGCCAGCCAAGGGGGACGACGTTTCATGAAAGCACCGAAACCAGGTGACAGCTGGAGTGACAGCTGGAAGGGTGACCTGATGCCCGTCGGCTGAAGAGCGACAAGCGAGATCGATCGTTGGGATGAACGGCCGGGTAGTTCATTTATCGAGATTGCAGCTGAGGCGAAGTCGTGTTAGTAAAATAAGACCACTGTTGCAGGTGCTGCTGACATGAGCGAGGCGACCAGTTCTCGCCACGACACTTGAATATTCACTGAGCTTTCGGACCTGGGTACATATAGAGGCGCCTGGAAAAAGAAGCTGGGGCCGCTCGATTTTCATCGTCATTTTGTGGTCAAAAAAATGCAAAGCTCCGGTCTCGTCGTGGCGTGGGTCGCGCCTTCCTCTGGGGGCATCGACAGACGATGCGAACGTTCCCCGACTCACCGGAAGCTCCACTAAAAATATTTTGCAACGACTTTTCTGCCGCATGGAACGGGCAGGTGCAGACGGGCGGTCAGGAGCTTCCCAAGGAAAGAGCTCTGCAGTTCGACGCAATTGGCCCTGGAGCTCGGGCCACCGCGGCACACAACAGCCCGCCCAGAAGCACTGCGAAGGTGCCGCGCCGTACCACTGGACAGGGACACTGGGACCCTGTGGTGGGCACCCGAGCACTCTGGAGCCCACCCGCCGCAGGCCATGGACGGCTTTGGGCCACAAAGCGCCACCCCTGCTTTTGGCAAGAATTCCTGGGCCCAAGAAAATACAAAGCTGCTCCTCCGGTCGCGTCACCTTCCTCGGAACACCTTTTTGTTTCTCTTTCACTTTTCCACAATACATCAATCCCTCCCGATTCTGGTCTGTTTTGTTTCCAGAACATCATAAAAACACGGTAATTCGCATCGCAAACGTCCGTTCCAGCGATTGCCATCTCTTGTTTACCCCGTTTCCACCTGCTTTTAACACATTTCATACGCGTCTTCTCCGAACCACCCAACACAGACATCGCCTGACGGACAATGCCTCCCAAGGCTGCTACCAACAAGGGCGTCGCGCCCAAGGGCGGCGTCACGAAGAAGACGGCCGCTGCTACCACTGCCGCGACGAAGAAGGCTGCTGCTGCCAAGAAGACCGAGAAGCCTGCCGCGAAGCCTGCTGCGAAGCCCGCTGCGAAGAAGGCGGCTGCCACCAATGGCGCGACTGCCGCCTCCAAGAAGCGCAAGCTCGAGGAGGACGAGGAGCCCGAGGAGGAGTCCGCCGCTGAGTCCGCCGACGATAGCAAGCTGAGCAACGCAAAGACAACCAAAGCTACCAAGCCCGCCAAGAAGGCTGCTGCGCCCAAGAAGACCGCTGCTGCCGCAAAGAAGGCTGCTGAGACGGATGACGAGTCCAAGACCAAGAAGGCCGCCCCAAAGAAGGCTGCCGCGAAGAAGGAAGATACCAAGAAGACCGCTGCACCCAAGGCGAAGGCTGGTCCCGCCGCTAAGAAGCGCAAGGTCAGCCCCGACGAGACTGAGGACGAGAAGCCCACGGCCAAGAAGGCAAAGGAAGCCGAGTCCACCGAGGTCGACAGCCAGGCCACCGAGTCTGCCAAGTCTGATGAGGAGACCGAGGTTGTCAAGCCGGTAAAGGCCACCAAGAAGACCGCCACTGCTGCTCCCAAGCCCCATCCCCACAAGATTGGCGCCAAGATCAACTCTGCTCCCACACAGATCCTCGACATCTACGTCTTTGGCGAGGGCAGCTCCGGCGAGCTCGGTCTCGGCAGCAAGCACAAGCCCAAGAAGGTTACTGATGTCAAGCGTCCCCGCCTGAACCCCTTCCTCGATGCCAAGGATGTTGGTGTCGTTCAGATTGCCTGCGGTGGCATGCATGCTGCCGCCCTTACCAAGGACAACAAGATCCTGACATGGGGTGTCAACGACCAGGGCGCTCTTGGTCGCGAGACCACCTGGGAGGGCGGCGTTCGTGACGTCGATGACGAGGAAGATGAGGAGAATGACGAGGACAGCGGTATCAACCCCCGCGAGAGCACGCCTACTGCTGTTGACTCTACCCACTTCGCTCCCGAGGCCAAGTTCACCCAGGTCGTTGCTAGTGACAGCGCCACCTTTGCGCTGACTGAGGATGGCAGAGTCTATGGCTGGGGTACCTTCAGAGTAAGTATTCTCTCCTCTTGAACACTGCAAACATGCTAACCGAAATCAGTCGAGCGATGGTATCCTTGGTTTCACCGAGAAGATCAGCATTCAGATGACCCCAATGTTCATTCCTTCTCTTAAGAACATCACCGCTCTTGCTGCCGGTTCCAACCACATTCTTGCCCTGGACAATAAGGGCACCGTCCTCGCATGGGGTTGCGGTCAGCAGAACCAGCTCGGTCGCCGTGTCATTGAGCGCAACAAGCTTGCCTCCCTGGTCCCCCAGAGCATGGGTCTTCCCAAGAACCGCATCAACCGCATTGCTTGCGGATCCTACCACAGCTTCGCCATGGACAAGGACGGTGTCGTGTGGGCCTGGGGTCTGAACAACTTTGCCGAGACTGGTATCTCCAGCGGTGCCGGTGAGGACGATGCTGTCATCCTCCGCCCGACCATTGTCGAGTCCCTCAAGGACTACAAGATTAAGCACATTGCCGGCGGCGAGCACCACTCTTTGGCCTGCACAGAGAAGGGCCAGCTCCTGACCTGGGGTCGTCTTGATGGTCACCAGGTTGGCATTCCCATCGAGGAGCTTGATGCCGAGAACGTCATTAAGGATGAGAGCCAAAACCCTCGCATCCTGTCTAAGCCTACCATCGTTGAGGGTACGTGAGTCCATTTACATGCGTTGAATGTTGCTAACTAGTCTCAGATGTCGCGAACTGCGTGTTTGTCGCTGCTGGTGTTGACAACAACATCGCAGTTGACTCCAAGGGCGTTGCTCACTCATGGGGCTTCTCCGCCAACTACCAGACTGGCCAGGGTACAACCGATGACATCGAGACTCCTACAACGATTGACAATAGTGCTGTCAAGGACAAGAAGATTATCTTTGCCGGCGCTGGAGGCCAGTACTCCGTTCTTGGCGGTGTCGCCGATGTTCCCAAGACCAACGGCATGGTCTTCACCTCGAACGGCCAGCCAGCTACCGGAGGCTTCAGGCCCGTCTTCTGAGCACTGGAGCGCGTGAAGCCTCACCCGTGGGGCATGTATCGAAACGAGCGCATGACGACTGCAGATCCAACAGATCACGCATAATGAATGAGTTTGAGGGCCGTCAATAGAAGGGGAAACAGATGGACTTGACGCAAGGATCAAGTCATGGACATATTTCCAGGGTTCCGATATCTTGTTGCTCGCCTCTGTGGCAAGAGCGTCTTTTTTTTTTGCGCAAACGCATGAAATATTTTGGATTTTTGGTCGTCCGGCGAACGGGCTTATAGACATTTCTTCTCATGAGAGCTGCAGTGGGCTCCGGCAAGGCATGGAACGGATGGGAACATAATGAACGGCCTCAAGGAAGTCATTTCATGATACCAAGGGCGACTCAGCTCATCGAAGCCCCGTTTGTTTGGCCTGCGGGAGATGAATTCTCACCGCGCGGCTCTTGTTTGCGAGGCTGAAGAAAAGTCTCTCATTGTAATATTAGGATGGCCCCGCTTTTTCCACACCTTCGACGCTGTTATCATTCGAAGGTATCACGAGGGCTACTCAGCATTGACGCATTTTCAAGCACCGGAAGGGGGAGGCAGGGCATTGGACTATCAAAATTTTATTCTGGCTTCGTCTGAACATGATTATGCTATTGTACAGTGACGTGATTGAAGCGTCTCGCCTGCTGAGCCTCTGATGGCTGACATGCCTCACGCTGTTGTCTTCTGTCTATCCATTCATGACTCCTTTTGGACACCTATGGACTCCTTCGCCCGTTTTGAACATCCCCACTAGAGTTGCAAGGCACCGCTCCCGCATCTGCGCCTCATTCAACAACTTGAGTTTTGTATATGCAGCCCCCCATCCCGTTCTGCTCTCACGCCTTCACCCCAGCAGCAGCCTTGATCAGTGCCCCGCTGCCTCTCGAGCTGAAGATGCCCATGATACCAAAGCCGACGTAGAAGAGCGCGAGCGGGTAGGCCACGAGCCCGCGCATGCCCCTCATCCTGCCGACGGCGCAGAACATGCCGCTGGCGGAGTAGGTGCTCCACAGGATGGCCATGGTGGTCAGGACGATGCCGAGCGGGGTGTCCATGGGCATGGCGATGCCGACGAGGCTGGTGGCGACCATGGGCAGCAGGCAGTAGCCCAGGACGGAGCTGGAGCGGGCGAAGGTGAGGGTGCTGGAGAAGTGGCCGGTGCGCGCCGCGGCGGCCGGGTGGTCGTGGGAGTCGACGGCGCCGGGGTAGCCTGCGCCGCCGTATTGGGGGGCGCCGACGCCGCCTGGGACGGAGGAGGTTGCGGAGGGGTGGACGTCGGTCGGGGTCATGAGGGAGAGGATTACGTGCAGGGAGGTGCTGCCGAGGAGGGCGAGGCCGTAGATGTAGCCGAAGTGGACTTTGCCGGAGAAGAGGAGGAAGGTGCCGAATAGTCTGCGAGGTGAGGTTTGTCAGTTGGCCCGTCGGATGAGAGGGGGGATGGGACTGGAGGTGTAGTTACAGGAAGAAGAGGATTGGACCGGCGAGGTCTGAGTCGTCCATTAGGTGCTGGTCGATGCGGCGGAAGGGGTTCAGGACCGCGAGTGTCTACAAGAGGTCATCAGCATTTTCGGGAATTGAAAATATGTAGGGCGAGCCGTTCGAACCTTTGCCTGGATGTGCCCAAAGTTCACGCCCAGCTCCTCCAGCAGGGGCGGCTCCCCGTCGTATCCCTCCGTCGAGAAGGCCGCGAGCCAGCCCGTCCGCAGACCGCCCTGCTCTCCCATGCGCCCGGAGACACCCGCCGCGCCGCCGAACGCGGCCGCACCACCAAAACCGCCTGCGCCGCCAGCGCCGAACTGCGAGCCGGAGGGCTGGGCTCCGTAGCCGTAGGAGGCCTGTTGTGGGGTTGCGTGGCCGGAGACCTGGGCAGGGGAGTAGGAGGAGGGGTAGAACTGGAGGTTTTGGGCGCCCTGGCCGGGCCCTGGGCCGTAGGATGGTTGTTGGTAGTAGTTTGACATTGTCTTTGTTTTATGTTGTCGTCAAGTTGCGAATAATGATGCTTTTCCCACCCCCTGTCGATGTCGTATTGCGAGGCTCTCGTGCGGGTTTACTGCTCGTGAATCAGGTTGAAATCGTCTTCGAAAGGGTTTTTGTAGTGGTTTTGGAAACGGTCGCAAAGGTGGCTGGCTCGAGAGCCTCGTTGCGCCGGAGTGGTGGGCGGTTTTTGCGTGGAGAGGACAGTTTGACACCCGAGCTTGGGGCGGCGGTCGGTGTTGGAGATGTAGCTTCTTTGGAGGTTCAACACACGTCAGGCAGGGCCCAGCTCTGGAGTCAGTAGGTGCCTGGTATGTTAGGCCACAGCGCAGCTTTAGTCAGGCACAGAGCTAGGGCCGTATCGATAGTGTTATCGGATGGCGTTATCGATAAAACTATCTAATCAGCAATCGGGTTCGCGCGAAGAACATCCGATTTTCAGCATCCCCCTGATGCGCCGAGACCTTGAGATGAACTGCTCATGAACGCTGCATAACCACCTCGTGTCACCACAACAGCCGATGCTTGTTTCCCCCTTTTTTTTTTGTTTCTAGAAAGAGTCGACGTCACACAACATTATCCAGTTTTCCTGTCATCAACGTTGGTACCGATAACAGACGAAATACCAGAGGGCGCCCAGAGTCTGGGTCGTTCGAATTAGCGTCCCTTCTGCCCTGTGGTTCGCCGTCTGGAACAGGCAAGTGCCTCCTTGCAGGGAGGAGTCTAGACTCGAGCCACCCAGCGCATCCCGCAGGTCCAATTCCCGAGATTCTGCGGCAGTTTTCTGCTTCCCCAAGCCCTCGGATATGGGGCCCCCTTTCTTACCCATCCCGCCGGGCCTTGCAATGAGCAGAGAGTCTGCCACGGCATTGCACACAAATACCGGCAGTGGACTGAGCCTGTCTCCACAGCCAAATGCGGCTTTTTCAAACGAACATCGTGAGATTGTGATGTGGTCCTCCTTCGCAGAAGTCTCGCGGTTCGCCTCAATCCGTCAATCTCCTCCGTTCTCGCAATAAAAGATGCAATCAACACCTTCGGGCACGTTTCCATCGAAAAGACCGACATGGCCCGGCAGCTTTGCTGAATCGCGTGCCTGCTTAATGCGAATAGAGCCCTGGTCAACGTTCCATCGAGTCCGTGTCCGGATGCTCTCCGAGATGGAGGGGACGTGAGATAATCCAGGCGAGTACAATACTTGCGCGTGTTGTGCTTCGTGGGGACGGCCCGACTGGTTGAAGGTCTTTTTTCGTAAAGGCCTCGCAACTTTTCCGCCTTACGAACCCAGGGGACCCCTCCATCCCGGGCACTCCTCGAATCTCTCGATTGCCGGGATTTCTCTCCCACGGAGATGTCGATGGATCCGCCCTTCTGTGTTTTTTCCCTTGCGCGGCCAAGCACTCCATCAATGAGGTGCCCTACGGTTGTGGAGTTTTGTTTCCACCAACGGGAGTTCGAGATGTTGTTCTTCAACCCCAAATCAAAGACAGGGGGTCCTTCAATGGTGGCCGCAGATAGACTGGCAACGGCCCTTGGGTGCCCTGGGTCCTTGACTTCTGGATAATGAAGCTTGCTCGCTTTAAGGTACAAGCCGAGAGCTGTCAAGGCGAAGGGGGCTCCCTGTTGGCTTCCCGAAGCTTTGTATTTAAGCTTGATGGCAGCCGGCTAACACGGCATGTTTGCTGATCCTTCTTGTAAGTCACTCACAGCTGCAGTCTCTCCTTCTCCTACCTCTTTGGTCTCTTTCACAGCAAACATGGGTCTCTACAAGTTCCTTCTGGCCATCTTGCCGGTCGTGTTGGCCGCGGACATCTATGTCTCGCCCACCGGCTCCGACTCCGCGGCCGGCACCCTCGCGGCGCCCCTGAAGTCGATTCAGAGCGCCGTCGACAAGGCCGTCGCTGGTGACACCATCTACCTCCGCGGCGGCACATACTCGCCCACGACCAACATCAAGATCGCCAAGAGCGGTACATCCGCCAAGCCTTACACCATGACGGCGTACAACGACGAGGCCGTGATCCTTGACGGCGAGGCCCTTCCCGGCACACCCGCCGCGCTGGACGCCTCCCTCGCCAACGCCGACCGCGGCGTGCTGCACATCGAGAAGGCCAACTACTGGAAGTTCTACAAGTTGACCATCATCAACGGCCCGTACGGCGTGTACCTCCGTGACGGCTCCAACAACTACTTTGAGCGCATCGTCACTCACGACAACTACGAGACCGGCTTCCAGATGCAGGGCTCCCTGAGCAACAACCAGGTCGTCTACCTCGACTCCTACCGCAACCGCGACCCCCGCAAGAACGGCGAGAGCGCCGACGGCTTTGCCTGCAAGGAGGGCTCCGGCACAGGCAACATCCTGAAGGGTGCCCGTCTCTGGGAGAACGTCGACGACGGTCTCGATCTCTGGTAAGGCCACAAACTCCTTCCATACCTTCCTGGCACAACTAACATGACACAACAGGGAATTCAAGTCCCCCGTCACGATCATGGAAACCATCTCCTGGGGCAACGGCGTCAACCGCTGGGGCTTCACCGACTTCCAGGGCGACGGCAACGGCTTCAAGCTGGGCGGCGGCGACGCGGCGGACATTGGCTCGGCGGACCACGTCATCACCAACTGCATCGCCTTCCAGAACGCGGCCAAGGGCTTCACGGACAACAAGAACCCGGGCAACTTCCAGTTCTCGCGCAACACGGCGTGGAACAACGGCGCGGTCGGCTTCCAGACCATCACGACCAAGTCGACGCTCAAGAGCAACATCGCGAGCGGCAACTCCAAGACGACGGCCAAGAGCGGACAGACGTCGCTCGTCAGCGGGACGACCAGCAGCGGCAACTCGTGGGACGGCAGCGCGACGTGGTCCGACGCCAGCTTCAAGAGCGTCGACGTCAGCCTCGTCAAGGGCGCGCGCCAGGCGAACGGCAAGATTGCCGCGAGCAACTTCTTGATTCCCACCTCCGGCGCTGCTATTGGTGCTACCACCACCTGGTCTTAAATCCTTGTCCTCGGTCATCGTGAACACTGGCGCGATGCTTTAGAACAGTCCCCTTCTGTACATACTTATTTTTGCCGTAAATACTTAGCTAGACTGCCGTTGTGCAGAGTACATAAATCCACCGGTACATACTCTCTGAAAGTCAGTCGCATCAGTGCTGGATTGAAGTGGTACGATTGCCACTGTGCATGAATCGTAGTTTGCCATCAAAGCTGGTAGCCTTAGTCACAGAATTTTGCCGTATTTTGAGCTGAGCACATGGGTAGTTGATGGCCAAGAGACTGGCATTCGTGTTCAACTTCCCAGAGCTCGGCATGGGACCATGCGTTCATCGTGCCAAAGTTTCTCGGCCGACTTATTGCGTATCGACAGCAGCAGCTGACATGAAGTGAGAATAAGCTCATCAGGGCGATATCAAGCCCGTTATCGTAGAAAAGGGGCACGAGCGCAGCGGAGCTTTTTGGTGATGGTCGCAAACTCAAATTTCAGAATCATGTTTATCCACCAGGGCCACCCATCTTGGCCGAGGGCGTTCCCGCCTGTTGGCACCAGCTGGCGAGAATGGCCGCAGTTGTGCAGAATTGTGAAGAACCAAGCACAGACGTAGAGGCAAGAAAAAAAGTAGGCCGGAACGGTAAAACCCGCACCCGGAGAGCTCGGAATTTCTCGTCGGCAATTTCCATATCGTGATGGATTTTTCTGGCATCAGCGACGCTGTCAAACCCCCACGCCCAGCAGCTCTGCCTCGCGACGACTGCCCCGTCCGACCGCACCACATCCGCACTCGCTGAACCGTGCGCGATCTGACATTCCGATTCTCTACAACCTCTTCAATCTACAATTTCTACCGCAGAACCTGCTGCGACTAATACGTCAAGATGGTGAGTCTCCATTTGCCGCCCCCTCCCCTCCGATGCGCCACCGCATCTTCCGCCTCCACCCCGAACCCGCCGGAACCCCAGAAACACCACTTCAAAACATGGTATAAGCTATTCCAAGGTGCTAACAAGTCTTGCTTGTAATCAGGCCTACCGCCTCGTGACCCAAGTCCTCTTCGTCGGCACCCGCATCGTCGGCCGCTCCTTCGCCGCGGCCTACAAGCAGGCGCAGGCCTCGTCCGAGTACGCGCGCGCGCAGGCCAAGAACGGCAACGGCGGCGGCGTGGCGGCCAAGGCGAGCGGCGCGGGCGGCATGACGCTCGACGAGGCGTGCAAGATCCTCAACGTCGACGCGCCCAAGGAGGGCGCGAGCAACGCGGGCGAGGTCATGGAGCGCTTCAAGCGGCTGTTCGACGCCAACGACCCGAAGAAGGGCGGCAGCTTCTACCTGCAGAGCAAGATCCTGCGCGCGCGGGAGAGGCTGGAGAGCGAGATCGGGCCGCTGGTGGAGAAGGAGGAGGCCGAGGCCGAGGTGAAGGAGGGGTTTAAGCCCAAGATTTACAAGGACCGGTGAGCGGTTGAGGGGTTGAATCTGGGGGTTTTACCTCGGTTCTGGGGAGGGACGATCGACGATGGAATGAGGCCGGGAGGGCTGAGAGTCTTTTTTGTGACAAGGCTTGAGAGGGCCCTCCTGGATCAAGGAACTGTATTGGAACAACTTCACTCGACTCCGCATGGCATGGCGTTTTGGACAGGGTGGATTTGTGGCGCGGCACCGCCTGCATTGGCATGGTTAGACGATAAAAAAAGGGTTGCGCATGTGTTAATACTGTACTATAAGAGAAGACAACCGCCGAGGTGAGGGGTTTGGACCGATCAGAGGTCATTAGAGAATGCAGACCTTGTGTTCTACTCATTGATGGATTGAGGTTACATGTTCTGCGTCGCATGCCACGCGGAGATCATCCTTCGCTTGCCTTTGCCAAAGCCGTTCCGGAACATAGGCAAGGGTAGAAAGGCAAAGAACAAAGACGTTCGACGGCCAATACTTTTCTCCGGAATAGAAGTAATGGTTGGTTTGGTTCCAGATGACATGGGAAGGAC